TAACTGATACAGTAGCGTGCCGCGTGGGTGTTATTTGTTTATAAACAATTTAGTCTGACTGACTCTCTCCCCCTCTCTCTCTCTCTCTCTCTCTCTCTCTTTCTCTCTCTCGCCCCCCTCTCTCTCGCTCTCTCTCTGCAAGAATTTTTTTTGTGCTGAAATGATGTGTATGCAACTGCGTATCTGCATATCTGCGCCTAACAAAGGTGTCACTACGCACGACTGAAATGTTACGTTTATAACCGTAGCAACAGACCTCAGATGGGCCCAGACGCTCTCCGCGGCTCTTGTTTATTGTTCTGGCTTGTTGACTTGCTGCAATCTTATATCTATATTGGTTCCAATCTGTGTTGGTAATTTGCGTGACTTTGTTTAGCAATAGGATATGAGAGAACAGTCTTTCGATCAAGTAGCCAAGAATTTTTATGTGAATCTTTAGGTAAAACCTATTTTTATGCAAATGTAAAAGATATTTTTGGATTAAAATTGATCGCTGAACATCTCATTTCGATATAATTTTAGTTTTGTTGTGATTTATTTTGGTGGTTTTGGTTATTACATTATAAATTATGTACTATTGCAGGTTTGCTGGACTTAGCTAACTCGTACTTGGAGAAACGGTTGAAAGCTTTGTGTGAGCGAACCATCATGCAAGGAATCACCGTGGCGAATGTTGCGATGCTGTACGCTGCTGCCATCCAGTATGAAGCAAAGGTACTTAATGGCAATAGTGACTGTTTGCCTATTCTGCACCCTGTTCCTCATCTTCCAGCAAAGACTACCTAGATCTGCTAACGCTAAACTACTACCACTGCTCTATCTGTCTGCTTTATTTAAAAGGACAGTAGCATCTAGGCATTTACTGCATACAACTGTACTTACTGTATAACAAATCGTCTATACCCACAATTTAATTATTATAACTATTTACACATCAACGCTACGAAATTTGAACGGCGCCATGATACCCGCGATCGTGCTGCCACCCCGAAAAAGTTGCGTGTTTGACAATTTATTTTGCAGGTTACAGAGCGAGGGCTAATCACAAAAGTGCAATTATATTTATACCTAAATGCTATTTAACCGAACGATATTCATTTTAGGGCAAATTTATCCATATTATAACTGAAACTATATGTCGTTTATAAAATATTACAATCCTTTTGCTTTTAAATGAATAAATAAGAAACACCCTCGGTCTGTAGCCCTTTGCTGGTAGTGGTTTTGCGCAACTTATCAGATTGTGCGCTTTGAGTGGCGCCACCGTCGTTGTAATCAAACTGTAGTCATTAGTTTTAAAACATTTTTTAATAATATTTCTAATGGTGATTGAACCATGAAACTTTTTATGTAGCGTAATTATAACCTAAATTAGCTGAAAATAACCCTAGAACCTAAAGTAAACTCTCACTTTAAATGCTGTTCTGTTTTTCGTGAGTTACAGGAACTCGAGGAGTTTTGCCTGCGATTCGCAGTCAATCACCTGACTGCCGTCACCCAATCAGAGGCGTTTGCTGAACTTGACGAGGCAACGCTAAAACGTTTCATACAGCGCGCCGCCACGCAGGGAGCCTTCAGGTGTTGAACAACAGTAGAGGGCGTCCATAGGCTGCAGGCCTGAATAAGCATCGAACAGAAATTAATTAAAAATACGCACACTGTTACTGCGCTTACAAAACATGCACTTTATTCATGTTAAATAACTATAGATTCGTGCTCTATGCAAAGATGTTAAAACCAATAAGATGGCCAGCAATGACGTTTTACCGTGACAGCAGCGCCGACAGCGCACCAAGCGGCGTGGAAGTTAGAAAACGTAAACAAACGCACGTGTCAATAGCCGTTTGACTAAGCCAGTACCGATATTTAAAAAAAACGTGGATGCGTGCTTTTGTGCATAGATGTGAAGGGGTGGAGAAGACCTAAAGTAGTACTCGGCTAGGTTTTTTACCTAAATATTAATACCATGACCGGGCAT